TGATTATTTGAAACCACTGGACATATATAGCCTGGATTAAAAAAAAATACTTGGCATAGATATGACAGTTGTATTCAAATATTTGAAGTATTATCAAGTAGAAAGGGGATTGTTTTTGTTATGTTTTCCCCAAAATCAAAGAACTAGGACCCATGAGTGTCAGTTATTGGAGAACAGAAGGGAAAACCTACTAAAAGTTAAATGGGAATAGGTTGCCTCAATAGAAAGTGAATTTTCTGTTGCTGGAAGTCTTCAAGCAGAGAGTGACTTCCTTGTTAGTAGTGTTGTGGAAGAGGCTATCCTGTAATTTTTGTAGGTGTTGGGATAAGCGATCCCTTAGTTCTTCCTACCGCTAAGAAGCTGCTACTGCTGCTACTGTTGATGATGATGAGGATGATGATGTATGAGGAGGAGGTGGAAGGAGAATGAAAGAATATCCAGATGCCATCCTCAATACATTATTATGAGTGAAATATCTTTGAGCCTAGAAATAGAAGGAACATGATCAGCCTTTCCCACATACTGAACAAAAAAGTATTAATGATAGTCTACTTCTTTAGAAATACTAATCATTCATTCAGTCAATGGATACTTAATGACTTCTTAATTAGATATGAAATCATCTATTTGTATAAGACTTTCTGAGCCTAGAAATTTTGTGATTGCTCAGCCTTTATTGTTTCTTTTCTTTCCTTGTCTTTTTGGTATAACAGAGAGATAAAGAAATAACTAATCTCTTTATCTATTACAGACTAATATTATCTTGGAGATTGTCATAATAAAGTTCTAGGAATTACTGAGAGACCTAAATGGACATAGCCCAGGAATACAAGGTGATAGAGGACTGAGCCATGAAGAATAATGGGGATGATAAGGGAGGAGAGGAGGAGAGAATGCTTTCCAGACCTGGGGGACAGCCAGCACAAAGTTTCAGAGACAGGAAATGTGAGGAACAGTAAGAAGGCTAGTTTGCCTGAACCATCACACAGGTAAAGAGGAGTAATATATAACAAGCCTGGAAAGGTAGGTTGGGGCCAAGTTGTAAAGGAGAATGAGTCTATCTATCTAGCCTGGGTTGGAAGTGCAAAGTCACTCGTAGGCTTGTCCCAGTGTTGATCTTTACAGAAGCTTTTTACCTTCTACATTTTTCTAACCTGGGCAGGTTCACCTAGAAATCTGCTGGTAAATGTTTAACAACCAGCCCTCTGAAGACTATGCACATATGACATACTTTTACGTTTAATCTGCATTATTAACATTTTCTCCATTATTTATTACATCTACACAAGCAACAAAACAATAAATCAATCCCTGATTTGTAGTGTTTGCCAATTTCCAAGGTGTAAATGCTCACACTGAAAATTTAAGTCAGTTCTTGGGAATTGGTTTGAGCTGGCTCCATCACATCCTTGGGTTCACCCCTCCTTAGGCAGCCTTGTAACCCTCTCCTTCTGGAGGTCTTACCATATTAGTATCAGATGTAGTGCAGATACAGCCTACCCTTTAAGCTTACTTGGACCTCAGAATGCTTGAACTCAAGGGATCCACCTGTCTCAGCCTCCTCTACTATGAAAGATTTACAGAAAATGTACAACCATGCCCAGTTCTATTTGCATACTTTAAGGTATTTTGAGTACATTAAACTTCTCTCTTAAGGACAGTGTGGGAATCTGCTGCTCAGGATATGCTGACCATCAGTGGTCTCTGCTTCATAAAGTTTGGCTCCATAGTTATAATGGGATCCCATCGATCCTCTGGCTGAAAGTAGATCCATTGACATCTTTTCCTCGTGCAGGTAAAGTGTGAGCTTTAGTTGTTTTTCAGTCATGTCTGACTCTGTGACGCCATTTGGGGTTTTCTTGGCAAAGGTACTGGAATGGTTTGCTATTTCCTTCTCCAGCAAGTGTGAACTTAGCTACACTCCCCCCCCCCCCATTTAATAGACTCTTTTGTAGGTTTTAATTCTTAATTCTTTATTTTAATTCTTTCTGGATTTTAATTCAATTTTTCCATTTTTCCCAAGTAGTGTGCCCACATTTGGTATATTTCCCTTTCTCTAAAAGCTAGGTGATGCAGTGGATAGAGTGTAGGGCCTGAAGTCAGGAAGACTCATCTTCTTTAGTTCAAATCTGGTCTTACACACTTACTAGCAGTTTGACCCTAGGTAAGTCATTTAACCCTGTTTGCCTCAGTTTCTCATCTTAAAATGAGTTCACAAAGAGTCAGACAGTTTCTCATCTTAAAATTAGCTCACAAACAGTTGAGCATAGCAACAACAACAGAAGTTGAATAAGTTTATCAAGTCTTTTCATACATTTTTGGAGCTAAAAAAGTATAGATCTGAATTTATAAGGAAGTCAGCACCTTTCATTTTTATTATTGATCATTATTTCATTGAAGACAGCATGGTGTAGCAGAAAGAATACAGGATTTGGAGTCATTTGCCTTGGGTTCATATTTTAGCTCCAACACTTACATAGTAATTCTGGGCAAGTCACTTAAGACTCTCTGGCCCACTGTTTCCTCATCTGTAAAATGGAATAATAATAATAATAATAATAATGGACTTGAATTGCCTACTTCACATCACTGTTACAAGGAGAGTTGTTAAAAAACTATGAAGAACAATACAAATTATCCCTCTACAGGCTGCACTACTAGTTGATCTCCATAGGACTTTCCCTACCTTGCCACAGAAATGTTGTTGTTTGTCCTTCGTTCTTGAAGACGACCATGACAACAAGATGATTCCACGACTTGCAGGTGAATTGGATTTAAGTGAGGGAGGCCTGTGCAAAGTCACCAGCCTCACTTTGGGCTCCACAGCCATCTGGACCCAGTGGCAAGATATAAATATAGATCAGGATGAACTGGAGATGGCTCCTGATGCAGTGGGAGGCCTTGGTGTTTTTTGAGCTAACTCTTTCCCAGGTCTCATTTTGACTGAGGCAATCCCCATGCAGTGATTAAGGCTGGTTAAGAAATGAGGCAAAGAATGGCTTCTTTTACTTAGTAAAAAAAAAAAAAAATCAATCTGGGAGGGGAAGACTCACAGGGTTTCTGGTCTAAACAGAAACAATTGCTGTTTACATTCACTCTGAGCCATTAGGGCCCAAACAATGACCAGGTGGGGCTTGGGCTGGAACCTATACTTGGCCAATTCATGAGAGCCAAAGTGATTTGGGTTTAAGGCATGGTCCTTAAGAAATAAATCTAATCCATAAACCCTTGCCAGGTTTCATCGATCAAAATTTACGTTCCTTTCGGCAGAGCACCCACAGGTAAGGGTATTATACCCTATGTGGATTGAAGGAGAAGAAGGAGCAGAGGACAGGACAGGAGAGGAGAAGCTCACTTCAACACCACCACCACCACCACCACCACCACCACCACCTCCCTAACTATTTCTCACATTGGAAGAACTCTGCACCCTTGAGACCTCACCTTCTGATTGTCTGATTCCTCCCAGAAACTCTAATTTAAGGAAGATGCCCAGGCCAAAGATGTCCTCAGCCTTCCCTAGGCTGTACTCCTGACTCATTTCCACTAGACTTTCTCTACCAAGACTCCACCACAACCCCTCCCTTTCCATTTCCCTTTTATGTCTTCTCCCATTAGAATGTAAGCTCTTTGAGGACAAGAACTACCTTTTTTTTTCCTGCTTCTACTTTTATTTCTATTACCTCTATTTCTGCTTCTAAGTGCTAAGTTCAGTGACTGACACATAGTAAGTACTTAATAAATGCTTGTTGACTGGCTGACAAATGTAAGCTGAAAGGTTTCTGAGCCAAAGTAATTTTAAAGGTCATTTAGTCTAACCTCATTTTGCAAATAAGGAAACTGAGGCTGAAGGGTACTGTTTCAGAAATTTTAGCTCATGAAAATGATGACTGAGATGAAACCAGTTATAGAGAACTCCTGAACAAGAAACTCCCTCTCTATTAATGCAGATCAGCACCTGTTCTGCAATTTATAGAGTTGCTTGGGGCACCAAGGGGTTAGTTCACCTTTCCAGGGTCACATAACTAGCATGCATGAGAAATAAGACTCGAATCCCAGATGTCATTACTCTGAAGCCAGCTCTCTGTGTGCTAGGCTGCATTAAAAATACATAGTGTACACAAAATTTAATATTTAAAGCAGACATTTCAATCATTTTCCTTCCTTAAATAGTTCTTTGGATCAGTCTTAGTAGGGCCACCAGGAGAGAAGTGAATCCTTTAGTGTGATGGGGTGTTTTTTCGGTGGCTAGAATATGAGATAAACAGCTTGATCCAGGGGTTAGAGAATTCTTGGACCTATATATTTGATTTTTTTTTATAGTTGTGAGAGGTCTATTATAGCGGGTTGTGTGAAGGACAAAATAGACTAACTTCCAGAATCCATGAAGTTTGGTGCAAGTGTGTTGGTGTGTGTTTTATTTGGGTAGAAGGTGAAGGATCAAATATAGCACTGATTGTTTCCTCCTTAGAAAATGAACTCATTTTTGTCAGATAAATATTTTACAATAACAATGGCTCCTTTGTAGATATAAAAAAATAGTTAGAAAAAGAATATTTGACGGGGAAGAGGCAGAATCCAGAATCTCTCTATTTTCAAAAGCGAGGCATTGTCAGGGTGGAAGGATGCATCTGAAACTTTCTAAATAGAAAGTAACAAAGGGTATGATATGGGGGTGCACAAAAGTTTAAATCTGTGTTATACAATTTCAGTCCATTCTGTGCATATTATGAGCCTAATATTCTAAGCAAGGACGGGTTACAGAGGTTCCAGAAGACCTTCCTCTTTCTTCACAATGGAAACGGTGAATTAGCTCATGGAAACATGCATTAAATTATATATACAACTTTTACAAAAATGTTTCCTCTCAGAACGCATGATGAGCGCTTTCATATTGCTTGCAGGGGACCACGTCCTTTTAATTCTATGTAATGGAATGTATTAAGACTTAACTACAGAGATTACTTCAAATAACATCACTGTTTATTGTTGTTTAATAGGGAAGGCCACGGTAAAATTTCAGTATTTGCTGTCAAAATGGCCTTAGCCACCCTATGTGGAGGAAAGATCATGGACAAATTAAGATGTAAGTCATTTCTTGTATTGCCCTTTCTCTAGCCAAAATACAAACTTACCGTCTATCTCTTTATAAATTTTTCTCCTTTCCCTTCCGTGTAATACCCTAACTTTATCCCAGTCACAATTCTTTCCAGTACCTGTCAAAGTTGTTGCTGTTTTTGAAGAATTTATAACTTTTTTAAAAATTCATAATTTATATTTTAATAAGTTCTTTTTTTCCCCTTAAAGTTCTACAAAGTTCAACCTCCCCAGGTCTTTAGATTCTGGTTTTTGAACTATTCACATTAAGTAATTATATGCAAATATAAAAGCTATACTTCTGTATTGGAATTATTGCTATTGTTTACTATTAGTTAAACACAAATGATCAGTTCTTTTAATATTAAACATGCATTTCTTCAAATCTACTGACTTTTTGAGATTATCTGAACTATCACATAGCCCTGTGCTTCCAGTGATAAGAACTTGAAGACCAAATCGTGATATCCTGCTATTTCAATAAACAATCAGTAGAAGTCACCCAACTATATTGCTTAATTTCCTCACCCCATATTTAATGAAAGCCAAATAGGTAGAACTTGGAGATGCATGTCCTAAAACAGACTTTTCCAAGGTATGGGCACAGGAATTATTTGGGCCATTAATTTTCCACCCCTGGAATAATGGCATGAAGCCTCCTTTTTTAACATAAAAAACACATGATAGCTGTATTATTAGTATTTATTGAAAATAAACATGCATGATGACAAAAAGATAGTATAAATTCAATATGCTTCTGAATAAGTTTCTACATTATTAATCATAACAGCATCTACACAGTTTTTAAAAAAAACATCCCAAAGGCAAGTTATACATATGTGTGCCAGACATACTTATTCAGTTGACAGAAGGTTTCTTTGCTTATTTATTATGCTGAGTTGTACTGAATATTTTGTTGAAGCTAAATAAAATAAAAAAGATGGTATGTGGTATTCTTATGGATTTATGGACCCCTCGTAATAACTTCCTAGTCCCTAGGAGTCTGAAGTCTGCATTTTTGGAGCCACTGGTCTATGCAGTTGTCCTAAGCAAGGTGGAAAATAAACTGAAATGGACAAAAGGTTGAAAAGAAAACTGGCCATTGAAACCTCCTCCTGTGTCCAAATATATTTTTGTCACTCTCATCCCTTGGTATCCATGAAGAAATCTATATTAGCATCAATTCATATTACACACACACACACACACACACACACACACACACACACACACACACACACACACACTTTTTTTTTAAAGATACCTCAGTATTTCACTTTCAGTTGCTTGCCCATCAGCTTCAGATACTAGGTTATTGTGGGTTGTTAATAAACTAATATAAAGGGAAAAGAGATAGAGAACAGAAGAAAACCAGTTTGAGATATGCTTTAAATTAGCCTATTATTAGCCCAGGTGGAGAATAACCAGGACCTGCTCACAGCTTTCTTGTTGTCCAGCAAAGACAGTTGGGAGGAAAAACCAGAGAGGTTAAGGTTGAAATCAGTAGAACCGCCCAGATCAGCCTGTACATCCAGGGTGGCTCATTTTTTCCTCCTTAAGAGTCAGTGTAAATTCATGAAGTACCAAAAAGTCATCTTATACCCTTTTGGGTGTTCAGTTTTGATTTTAGAATTAGACTAGAGAAACTGAGGAAAGTACTCTAATACAATGCCTAAATAAGTTAAAATGGTGGCATTAGAAGTTACAACTATAACTAAGATGGGATGAGTAGGCCTTTGGCCCAAGGTGCTGAAATTTAGAGGGTATTCATAGTACTTGCAGTCTTTTGGTAGCACTGAAACAACTCAACTTAGCACATAGTAAGGGTAATTTATTAAAATGGAAAACTATCAGATGACACCAGTTCCTTAGCCCCTGGCACCCTAGCTGAGTTTCTCATTAGCCTTGCCTTTCTGATCTGATTTTCCAAGAAGTGACCTCATGATATCTCTGCCCACAAGGATCAACCCTTCCCCCATCATTTGAGGATATATATCTTGCCACATACCCTTGGTCCATTTTTGTGATGTTTCCCCAGTGTACAAAAATGGCTAATTACAGTTCTGGCTGCTAGTTATTTAAGGAAGTGCCTCACTATGAAGCTGGAAGAATTTCCTTCAGGTCAAGGCTTGGCAAAATAAATTTAGGAGTATTAAGAATTGTCAGAGGAGGAAACTTTAACTATAGGACTTCTCCCCAAAGCCTGTACCTAAATGTTGTAAGTAGCCCTTTATTCTGTAGATATATTAGAGAAAATCTAGATAGTTTGTTAGTGAAATTTATGAAGGAGCTAATGTATATTTTGCAAATGCTGCTTTAAAACAGATGAGTGTCAATGTTGGTTCATTATGAAATATGGTTCATATTTAGAGATAAAATAGATCTTAAAAGTCAACTAATCCACTTCATTTTACAAATGAAGAAATTGAGGCCCAGAAAGATTAAGTTACTTGTCAAAGGTCACACAACTATTAAATAGCAGAGACAATATTTGAATCTATGCCCTTTGACTCCAGAACCAGTGCTCTTTTTTCACTATACCAGTGCTGCTGCCTAAATGAGAACAGAGTTTGATCTGATTAAGAAAGCAGTGGCCCAACTATTAACACCTCTTTCAGTCCCTTGGGCCAAAGAAGCCCAAGCGATAGCAGCTCACCTGCTTTAAAAAGGCAAGTGATCAGTGAAAACATCATAATATATATAGTGACCATTAGAGCCACTGTTCTTTGACAGAGAGAATGAAGTAAATGACGTGAGTGCCATCTAGTCACCAAACTGAGTAACTGCCCTGATGTATGCACCAAATTATTTATCTCATAGCAGTAGGACAGAATGTAACAGCAGCATGTCACAGTCCTCTCTTCCACATGTGTAGGCTCCAGCTTCTCAAGGTGTAAGGGTAGCCTCAGAACAGTTCTGATTCAAGAAACAAGAGTCATCTGCTCATTTCTAAAGTCATTACTATCTTTTTCTCTCTTTGCCCCCTGCTCCTCTCTGTTGGCACCACTAATAACCCCAGCCCTTATTATTTAGTTTACTTTTATTTCATACAAAACTATTCTTTTAAGAGCTTCAAAAAGAGGATTGGGCTTTGGCAAATGTCTGAGAATATAGAATTCCATTTCTTCCCTCTCATTTCTCCTCATTTTCCAACATTCTCAATTCAGGACATTTCTAGAAGAATTGTTAAGTATTAAGCATTTCTATGTAGCTGATACTTTAATTATTATGGCAGATACAAAAGTTGATGACAAGGACAAGAAAGTCTGCTAGGGGAAGAAAAAATTTACGAAATTTATAGACATAGTGCCAAACTGAATATGATCAAGTGTCTAAATGTAGAGTAGACAGTAATTATTGAGATGATCTTTTTAGAGCTTTTTAACTCATTCTTCAACTTGATCCTTAAATTGAATTAAATATGGAATCTTGGGCCATGTAGCCATTAACAACATCTTTTCTCTATAGGCCCTTGCTTTGCTGTTCCTTGGTTGAACTTGCCCTCATAACAAATGTTACCATTATTTGAGTTTAAATGACTATGGGGTTTTTAATTTATTTTCCATGTTATTTTTAATTAACATTCATTTATTTTCCCTCCTATTCTCCTAATTTAAAAAAAAGAAGAAAAGTATAACCCCTGTAACAAATATGCGTAGTCAAGCAAAACAATTTCCCACCTTATCTGTGTCCACAAATGTACATTTCATTCTGTATATTGAATCCATTACCTCTGTGTCAGGAAATGAGTAGCATCCTTTACTACCAGTATTCTAGAATCATGGTTGATTTATTGCATTAATCAGAGTGGATATACTTTTCTGCATTTAATCTAATCAAGAGTGCCCAAGCTCCTTAAAAATATAGCCCAAAAAAACTAATCCTGTTTTCAAACTAAACATTAGCTCACAAATCCAGAGCCTAAAAGAAATCAGAAGAGAAAGATAGCTAGCATAAGCAAAAGCAATTAGGGACTCCACTGAAATATTTAATAGATATTATAGGTATTGAGATAGATATTTAATAGATATTATAGCTAGGAATTAGCCAATTCCATTGGATTTCATGGGCATTTATGTTAGGGCATACTATATTTGCCACTGGCAGACTCATCTAAGTGATCTGGAAGCAGTAAGAGATGGGAGTAGATAAATAAGAGAAGTGTCATTGATAAAAATAGGGGCCAAAAGGTCAGTTTTATAGATTAAATAGCATTTTTTAACCTAATAATTTTTTTTAATTTGCACCTACATCTAAATTCCACTCTGAGAACTCCTTCACACAAAGATTTTAGTGCCACATGGGTCATGCTCCTCCTCCATGATGTTAGAAATAGGCTTGACACCAAAAATTTAGTATCAAGAAAATTTATTATAAAGAAAGTCCAGAGGATTTAGACATTTCTGGCCAGAAGCGGGCTCCACCCCTCTTCAGGAGGGGTGGGCCCTGAGTGCGAGGGAAAGTGTGGTTTTATGCAGTTGAATTCGGCACGAAACCTCCCAGGCCAGGATTGGTCCAACCCTTCCCAAGTTACACCTTTCCTTACATGTTTCCCCTTGATATGCCAAGTATGTTCCCCCTCCCTGGGTCGTACATTCCATGACTAGTTAATGAGGTTCTAATTTTATGCGGGGTGTGTCAGATAGCAGGCGCACTAACATTTTTCAGGTGTCCTCAGGTTGACCCTAACTGGTCTGAGCTGGCTCGACCCCTATCTTGATTTTGGGATCTTCTTGGAACAATCCACTTAGTTCCTATTGGTCAAGCCCAGCCCACCTACAGTGTACCACCTCCCGGGACCTTTGTTCTTTAAATCTCTGCATTATTCTACCTGTGGAAACTTAAGCCCTTCTAATTCTAACAATGACAAATGTGTAGAATAAAAGATCATATATAACAGGTGTCAGTCTCATGCCCTGATATAAGTGTTATCAAAAGATTCCACTCTATGAGAATGTTCTACTCCTAGTAAGCAGTCATTGAGGTGTATTAATTGTGCAAAGGTTGTAGTACAGTCATGCATTCCCAAGAGCAGTCCTCTCCTGGTGAACTTCTATAGAGTATGGTGATAATATATTGAATAAAAGGGAAAAAAAGTCATTCATTTTCAAGGCACATTTTTACTGGCTGAACCCAGAAGAACTCTTCAACATTATCTCATTAATCTTCATTAAGTATACAGGTGCAGAGGCTGAGATAAAAAAGTTAAACCAGTTGCCTCTGGTTACAATAAAAATGAAGGGTATTGGTGAAAATAAAACCTACAACTCTGATTCCAGTCCAGTGACCGATTACTATACTACTTTTCCTCTAAATTAGATAGGCCTAAAAAACCCTCTCCCAGCTACATGCAGTTAGACTTCTTGCACATGTAACATAGAGGTTCACTGAGTTTGCCACCTCTATCAAATGTTAATCAGTTGCTTTAACTCCTTCTCATCTCTGCCCTTTATTTGCTTTTCTAGATGTCTTAAAAGCACAGAAAAGCTAGTTTTTATAGTAAAAAATGTATAAACATTTTTCAGTAAATCTAGTGAAATATTTCACAAGATCAACAGTGTCATCTACTCAATTTATGTGATGTCAAGGCACAAAGTTGGTGTAACCTGCTGGTTATCAAATTAGTCTAATTTCATTTAAATGCTTTCCTGTCTTGTGTTAGATTACCAGCTTTTAAAATAAAAATTTGCCAAGGAGAATGAATACTTAAGTATTAAAATCAGATATCTTTCCTTATTTTTCCAAAGCATATTTTATTCAGTCATATCCCTTATTATTTTAATGAGATGTGGTTGAATTAAATAGAATGATTTTCTATATGTAAATTAAGCATCTTTTCTCTTATTTCCATTAGATATTTTCTCAATGATTTCTGACTCCAATGGAGTAATGGTTTATGGGCGATATGACCTATTCCTTCGGGAAGTCCTCAAACTTCCCACTGCGGTGTTTGAAGGTCCCTCATTTGGTTATACAGAGCAGTCTGCCCGATCCTGTTTCTCCCAACAGGTAAGAACAGTGTGATTAAAGGAAGGGCATGTCATATGATGGGAGTTATCTCCCTAAATGTTACCCCAAAACACATAAACTCATTCAAAACTTTTCCATCATGTCATTAATCTACAGTGTATTGTTACCAGCTTTTGGTGTGACCCTCCTCCAAAATAACAGTGAAAACCAGTATCCTTGGTTGTACAGACCAAAGTACATGAGAGACTCCTATCTTCTTACTAGCCTCTCGATAGGGGTAGTGTGGTCCAGTGGAAAGAATGCCAGCCAGCATCAGGAGGACCGAGGCTTGGTTCATATCTCAGTTCTGACATTTACTAGATTTGTGACCAGGGGAAATAACTTCACTAAACCTGTTTCCTCATGCATGATAGGAAGAGCTGAGATACCTACCTCACAGACTTATTGTGAAGCCCAAGTGAAAGAATAGATGTATAGAATTCTCTGCTTTACAGCACTATATAAATGTCAACTATTAATAGCACGGGAAACAATCAATTAGATTCAGAGTCTGGGTCCAGACTGGCTTAGGGTAAGAGTTAGAGGAAAGAGAGGTTGGGAAAAAGAGAAGAGACAAAGACAAATGAGGAAGAAAGGAAATTTTCCAAAGAGAAGAAGGAAAGAGAAAGAGATTGAGATACTTTTTCCCCCTTGTAGGGACAGTGGTGCAATGCATAAGGCTGCAGAATCTCAGAACTGGAAAGTCCCTGAGAGGTCATCTAGCCCAACCTATACCTTAAGAACACCTGGTATAGTGTATGGCATATAGTAGGTACTTAACAAATGCTTATTGACTACCTAACTAGAATCTCTTCTGTAAGCTCCCCTCATCTAATCTTTATTAGAACACCTCTGCTTCCTGATGCAGTCCATTCTACTTTTGAAGAGTTCTAAATGTTGGGAAGTTTTTGCTTACACTGATGGAAAAAAATCATACAAACACAAAAGCTTGATGACTTTCAATAGAAAATAATGATAATAACTAACACTGATAAAGCTCTTCAAGATTTGCAAAGTGCTTTATGTATGCATTCTCATTATCTCGCTAGATGAGTTTCCTTACTTAAAAAACCCTAATCCAGAAGCTGGTTGTGTATGAATGATGCTTCAACAGTTTCCCTGTCAATGTGTGATTCATGATAGATGAAAAGCAGTCCATTCTGACTGCTCTCCATCTTTTGAGATAGATGGCCTCAGAACCCACCTGGCCTCTGGACCTGGGACTTATCTATCTTACTATGGATCAGAAGAGTACGGGTTCTGGGGGTGGGGAATCTACGGCCTCAAGGCCACATGTGGCTCTCTAGGTCAAGTGTGGCCCTTTTACTGAATCCAAACTTCACAGAACAAATCTCCTTTATAAAAGGATCTGTTATACACCTGAGCGGCTCAGTATTTTCAGGGAGGCAACATGGTATGTTGGAGTTGGAATCAGAAAAATCTGGGATCAAATTCTACCTCAGACATGTAGCTATCTGGGTGACTCAAATTACCTAGCTTCTCTGTGACTCAGTTTCCTATTCTCTAAAATGAGGAGGTTGCAATAAATAGCCTCCAAGATCCCTTTTGGCCTTTATTCTATGATCCTTGTGTTCTTTCGCACTCTGTGTGCTAGATTTAGAATGAGGGTCAAGATCAGGTCCTAGAAATAACACTCTGTGTAGCCTTGGAAAAGTAACAGCTTCTCAGAGCCTCCACTGAATTGTCATAAATAGGGAATAATCTTTTTACACGACTTGTACTCCACCGTCACCCACAGGGTTGCTGTGAGTATTAAATGAGCTTGTGTCTATAAAGCCTTAAATCAGTGATAGCTGTTATTTGTACTTTTGTACACCTATAGCCACTGTGTCCTCCTGAATTCAGGGTGGGTGCTCTATCCAGTGTCCCAGCTAGCTTCCCCCACATAACAGGTATATTAAGAAAGTTTTCTCTTATTCTTAACCCTGTTTCTTTCTGATACAGAAAAAAGTCACTTTGAATGCTTTCTTGGACACACTCATGTCTGATCCCCCACCTCAGTGTCTGGTCTGGTTACCACTTCTTCATCGATTGGCAAATGTAGAAAATGGTAAGACTGATTCCTGGGCCAGTTTAGTTTAGCGAGATAAGACTATAAAGTCTATGTTCCCTTCAATAGAATGTACGTACCTTGAGGGCTGGAACTGTCTTTTGTGTTTATATCTCTAATCTAGCACAATACCTTGCATGTAGTGGACATTTCATAAGTGCTTGTGAAATTCAATTGAATTGACTATGTGCATCATGGCTATGGATAGGAAACTGGTATTTAGAGGTCATAGCTGTTTTTTTTTTCTTTTGAAATCTTTGTTGGTTTTCAGTCTTGTTATGTTTTGGTATTATTGATCATGCTGCATTTATCTCATCTCTATGATACGAGGAAAGTGTTTTATAAACCTAAAGTAATGTAAATTTTTATTGTCATTTTTCATGGATTAGTGATGTCATTGGTGAGGATACTACCACTATTTCTTCACTGCAATTTGTGTTCCTACCTTTCTTTTTTTTCCACTATTAAATTTTATTTTTAATTTATGGAATAAAACAAGCATTTCTGTAACATAGTACAATAAAAAAGATGATTGCACATGAAACTGCTAATTTACTATGGACAACTTGCTATTCCCTTTTGAATGTACAACAAAATTATCATGTAAATTTCTTTTTTTTTTCTTCCATCCCCCACCCCTGCCCTAGAGATAGCCACACAAATAGGGGTGTGTGTGTGTGTGTGTGTGTGTGTTGTGTGTGTGTGTATGTAAAATTATTATATACATCTATTTATCAGTTCCTTCTATGGATGCAGATAGTATCTTTCTTCATATGTCCTTTATAGTTAATTTAGGTATTTATAAGAAAATAACTTCTTGAAAACTAAAATTGGGCAGATGGAATTATGTCTGTACCTTTCTAATAATTCTCCATAAAGAATCTACCCAACATTCTGGTGGTCTTGTTCTTTTAATATCTCATGAATATATCTTATGCAGTATTTGGGCCTATTGTCTGTAATCTTATTCTTGCTTGTTTTACCAATCCACTGGTTCCAATGATACTTGCCTTTAATTGTATCTCTTACAATACTTCATACGTGAAAGACATTATTGGTAATATGCCCCAAAATACTCATACCCAGCATGAGTCTTTCCATTGTCCTTTAGGATTCATTACAGTTTCATTGTTCTGAAATTCTTCTGTTCCCTGATTCACATCCATATAGAATTTCTGAGAAAATATTGCTGTTAAAAAGATGAGCTTTTGTGACAGCAAGCAGTTCAGGATCATTGAAAGTGCCACACCATTTCTTAAAAATGTGACTTACTTGATCTCTTTTAGATAATTCTGGGCCCTACTTATTGTCTAAAGCGTATATATTGACCTGTGAAAGATATAGTCATTATTATTATTATTCTCCCTGAAAAATGAAGATAACCAGTTAAAAATGCAAAAAAAAATGGCCAAATACATTAACTAGTTCTGCTTCCTTTATGTGTTAGCTAGCACATAATTGTGATACACAAAGATTATAATAAAATTGGGAAGTCATAGATTGAGGTCACAACATGTATTGTTACTTTGGAGATGTAATTTGCAAGGTAGCTATTTGTTTCTTCCTCAATGTTTGGCCCATAATTAAGGTAAGTGGTTACTAGGTGGATGGTCATGGCTTGATGTCTCAAACAGCTTGGCCACCCACAGGAGAGATTAACTGAAAGAAAATGATTAGCATGCTTTTGCACTCAATTATACTTTCCCTATAAAATGCCTTATTAAAACAGGAAAGCATCAACATTAGCTACTAATACAATCATAATATTTAGAATGAAAATTTAAAGCACATTTAAAGAAATATAAATTCCTGGGTGTAAGTAAATCTATCACTCACTAATCTTTAACTGTTCTTAATACCCTAATTTTTCTTTAGGCTTAAGTGAAAACAGTTCACATTGAACAATTTGTTAGCAGTAGTAACAGTCCCAAGCCATGTGCATGGTTTGGGTAAGCTTTTGCATTAAAAGAACTTGGAGACAGCTTTCCTCATCTGCCCACATGGTTTCCCAGGCAGTCACAAGCTGGTAAATGTTTAACAACAGACTTCTGAAAGTACATAACACACTTTTTAAGTTTAATCTGAATTATTAACATTTTTACTATCGTTAGGTCTATACAATCAACAAAACAATACTTTGTAGCATTTTCTGATTTCTGAGGTGTAAATGCTTACCCTGAAAAATTCAGCAATCTTCCAGGGGTGAGGAATCTGTGGCCTCAAGGCCACATGTGGCCCTCTAGGTCCTTGGGTGCGGCCTTTTGACTGATCCCAAGTTTTACAGAACAAATCCTTTTATTAAGGAGATTTGTTCCGTGAAGTTTGAATTCAGTTACAGGGCCACACTTGAGGACCTACAAGGCCACACGTGGCCTCAAGGCCAAAGGTTCCCCATCCCTGAATAAGCTGCCTCTAGCACACCCCTAGACAAGTGGATCTATTCACCACAATTGCTTATAAAACTATTGAAGGAATGGCTTTTCCCTGCTTTCTTCCCTGAACTTTTAGTCATCACATTCTCAAATAATGTGCATGGATTGAATAAGTTTAAGGGCTTAAGGCAATTTGACATCAAACATTTTTTCTTACCTCTTTATACCTGGAGAAGTAAAAAAGTAGAAGTCCTTATCATATGGTATGTGTACACATCAGCATTAACCCTCTAAATTGTTCATTTTCAGTTAAAAATAAAAGTAATTTTCCTTACCTTTTTTTCAGAATAATGGCTTTATCACTTCTCATTTGGTATTGATTTGTGATTTACCTAAAATGCTAACATTTAATTATTAAACATTTCCTGTAGCTAGCTGCAGTACATTTATAGCTCCAACATTTGTAGATTGGCTTTTGATAGAGATTGTTTTCTGAAAGAGATTGGAGTTGGAAAATCCAAACTTCTAAAATCATGCTTAATGAATGCATCAGGCTTTTCTAACAGATGTTTAAAAAGGTTTCTCTGCAGGCAGGAGAAGTATGTAGACTGGTAAGGCTAAAAAACTTGCCTTTAAATTCATTATAGGTATTTCCTCCATATACAGTTGTTCTCATTGTATATTCCTTCCTGGGCAGATCACATGCCAGTATATTAATAGTTAATATCTATTAGCAAATGTTTTCTCGATCTGGAGTTTCTGACTCCTCACAAAAGAGAGAGAGTGTTGTATTCTTGGAGGTTACCAGAGTGGTAGTTTATATCTCTACTGGGTTCTGTTATTTTTTTTGTACTTTTTAAAATACGTATTATTCATGTGGTCTGTTTCTTACATCATCAGAGTTATCCAAAGTATCCTCTTCCCCTCCCAGAGAGCCATTCCTTCTAACAAAGAGTATTTTTTAGAGAGGGAAGAAAATCTTTACAACTGATCAGTACATTGAGACATCTGAAAACATGTGCAATGTCTGACACAGGTAGACTTCCCCGAAGGAGTGGATTGGGGTTGTTCTCTTACATTTCTTCATTTGGGGTCCTACTTGATCATTATAATTTTCTTACATTCACTTTTGATTTTTTTTGATGTGTTGTTCTTTCCATTTACACTGTAGTAGATATATTATGTGTATATATAGATATATAGAGATAGATATAAAGTTATATTGTTTCTTGACTCTGCTTACTTCATTCTCTATCAGTTCATGTAGATCTTTCCAAGCTTCTCTGTATTTATTACATACATCATTTCTTACAGCACAGTAATATTCTATTATATTCATATGCTGTAATTTGTTGTACCATCCTCCAGTTGATGGCATCTACTTTGCTTCCAATTCTTAGCTATAAAAAAAGTGCTGCAATATGTATAAGGACATTCTTCTTATCAGTGGCTTTCTTGGGTTATAATACCAGTCAGGAAGTCTCTATTTCAAAGGGTATGGACATTTTAGTCTCTTTATTTGCATAATTCCAAATTGCTTTCCAAAACGGTTGTACCTTTTCACAGTTCCACCAACAAGGCAATAATGCATTTTCACAACCCCTCCAACACTGACTCTAGCCAGTTTTTTGTTATTTTTGCCAATTTTCAGGTGTGAGGCAAAATCTCAGAGTTGTTTGAATTTGCATTTCTCTTATTTTTAGTGATCTGAATCATTTTTTCATGTGGTTGTAAATGCTTTGAAATTCTTTTGAGAATTATTTGTTCAAATCCTTTGATTGTTTATCTTTTGGGAAATAGCTGTTATGTCATTTGCACTTTATAATTTCTGCTTCTCTTCCTGACCACTCTATTAGAGATAAATTCCTCAAATGCAAAAGCCATGCTTTCTATCTTTTTCTTTTCTTTTTTCTTTTTTTCTCCTTTTTTCTTTTGGCAATTCAACATATTCCCATGACATGGGAATATTTAATGATTTTAAATTAATTATTGACCCCAAATACCATCACCTAACCCCACCCAAATTGAAATGGACATTTCCTGTTGCCAAAGCAAGAAATATATCTTGCTTTGGTTCAATTCAACTTGTTTTCAAAGACTTTAAGCATTTCCATGGAGTCTATCCAGCTATGGCCAGAAAATAAAATCTGTATGGCTCTTAATTGGCTATCCTGTCCAAAATCATGATTCTCAATAGACATTGACAATTGCTTCAGTTTTAGAACAGTAATTCGTTTCTCCTCTTATTCTCTCTTTTTCTTCTTGCCATAAGAGTCTGTGGCACTGGCAAATGGTTGTACACTAGAAATATATTATTTTATCAGTACAAATTACATTAAATAAGATACATTCCTATGTGTTTTGTCGATGCACCCTAAGGAAAGGCACAGAGCCTTTCCATCTAACTTGCAGCTGAAACCCTTTGTGTGCTATGTCCCCTGTTAGAATATCAGAGAGACTGTCTTGCTTTTCTATTTATATACCCAGAATTTAGCACATTTGTATTAGTAAGTGCTTAAAATCTTCTTTCTTTCTTTCCTATACTTCATCCCTTCTTTCCCTCCCTTTCCTTTCCATCCCTCCTTTCCTTCCTTCATTTCTTTCTTCATCTCTTCTTCCCTCCCTTTCCTTCTCATTCGTCCTTTCCTTCTTTCCTTCCTTTCTTCCTTCCTCCCTCCCTTCCCCTTTACTACTTTATTTCCTCTAGCTCATTCCTTTCTGTGTTCATTACATCTATCTCTTATTTTTCTCTTTTCTTTCTGTTTACCTCTCTCACCTCTCCCTAATCTTTGTCCCTCTCACTATGCACACATTCTTAACTGTTTGCTATTTCCTGAACTCTCTAAGAGTTCAATTGTTTCTATTAAATGTGTTTCTTAGTTTTTCAAAGAACTGTATAAACCTCTTAGAGACAGAAAGCAGTCTTTGGTGGGAGTAAACTAGCCTGGGTCATTTATATTCTTGTGGTGTGACATGGAAGAGGAGAGGAACTGGCGTTTCAGAGGTTTTTTGTTTGTTTATTTTCAAAAAAGAATACCCCCATCTGTTTCCCTCCTACTCTACTTGAAAGGGGTACCTCAAGTTTCTGAAATTTGTCTAATGCTATTTTCAACTAGAACTGAATGTCAAACAGAAGGCTAAAAATTAGGGTTGACAGTGGAAGAATTCAGTGGCTTTTAGTAGTTTTATCTTTAACATTATTCATTTTTATTTTCTTTTTATTTTAATTCATCTTCCCCTCAGTCTTCCACCCTGTTGAGTGTTCCTATTGCCACAGTGAGAGCATGATGGGATTTCGCTATCGATGCCAGCAGTGTCACAATTACCAGCTCTGTCAGGACTGCTTCTGGAGGGGACATGCCAGTGGTTCCCATAGCAACCAGCACCAAATGAAAGAGTACACGTCATGGGTAAGGCAAGGTTCAGGCATCGCTAACTGTAGAATGTTTGAGTCTCCCCAGAATGAGAAGGAACATCAAGAATGGTGTTAGCGTTGGGGGTCAGACTTACTTTTTGTTTCAGGGGGTGAAATGTGGTGTGCTTCCTCCTTCTCGTTGGAGGTAAGTAGAGATCCTTTCCTGACTCTACTGTGGGTTTCTGAGAGATGATAAATAAAAAGTTTTGAACAATTTTGCTCCTTGGAGTCTAGATGTGAATTTCCATCATTTTCGTGCTGTGCTTGGATGCCAAGAGAACAGCAGGAGACACTTGGTGAAGAATTCTATTTTTATGGGACATTGAGGGTGTTTAAATTTGATTGTGTTTTAGATTTCTACTGGACTTGCATAAAATGATTGTTAGTTTCCTTTTTGTTATTTTATATAGTTTATACACACACACACCACACACACACACACATATATGAAGAAAAGTAGTGTGGGTATCTGGGTTGAAGAGAAGCATTCCTTTTAATCCATTTATTTTTCTGGGATTTTTTAAAATTTATTTTTGGTTTTTTATTATATTTATGTAAGTAACTAATCTTTTAGTAAAGAGTTAAGTAAACCAGTTTAGCCAAAATGATGAGAAACAAAGTTCCACATGAATAGCTAGCTGCCTAGCTGATATGCTTGTCACAGGAAGCAGGTGGCAGTGAGTCTATGAGAAATGGCACTATCTTGGTTTCTCACTCAAACGATTTGCTGTCTGCTGCTATATCTTATCATCCCCAACAGTTACATTCAAAAAGCAGTCATAATGAGGATGCTCAGTTGTCTCCATCTTCCATTAGAGCAATGCTCTATGGATCATTTTTTTCTTTTTTTTTTCTTTTCGAAAGGCAATCTTATCAGCTCCTCCAGTCATACTTCTCTTCACATGAGAAGAATGCATGGCACTTGCAACCAAGCCCCTCCAAAGCTAAACAAATTTAAGTTCAAATTATGATGACCCAGAGATAAATTAACTGATCCTAAAGAAGAAAACCCATTAGAAACTTACTCAGAATATGAAGCCTAAATAACAATGTACTTACTTATTGGGGGGAAAAAAAGGAGGCAGAGGAATGTTTAACATTAGCTCACTCATTGTTTACCACTTCTGCTGAATTTACATTTTAGTGATTCTTTGGGGTACTGGCAGAACTGTGCCATCCTCTCAGTGTTTCTACTTGGTTTTGGGGTACCACAAAAATGATGAGGAGACTCTACCCAAATTTTTGGATGCAATTTTTTTTCAGAATCTGTGGGAGGGAAAGTTTTCCATTCAATTAAATTACCAAATATTTATTAAGTAGCTACTATCAGGAAGCTAGGTGGCTCATTAAATAGAGCACTGGACCTGGAGTCAGGAAGACCTGAGTTCAAATCTGGCCTCACACACTCACTAGCTTTGTTACTTTGGGCAAGTCACTTAACTTCCATTTGCCTCAATCAACTGGAGAAGGAAACGGCAAACCATTTCAGTATCTTTGCCAAGAAAACCCCATGAACAGTATTGGCATGATATAATCCATGGAGTCATGAAGAGTTGAGATGACTGAACAACAGTCAGAAAAACTCTGAGAAAAAAAGCCCTTAATGCCACTGAGTCTAACTTCTCTTAGTTTATTGTCTTCTTCCCATAAGATACATACACAGATAATATAGATAACACAATAATGTATAAGTTCTTTTGACATATAAATCAAAATGCTCTGTGAGGCTTTTTTTTTCAAGTTTTTTTTTCTGGTTTTGTTTTTAGGCAATTGGGGTTAAGTGACTTGCCCAGGGTCACACAGCTAGTAAGTGTCAAGTGTTTGGTCTGACGCAGAATTTGAACACAGGTCCTCCTGACTTCTGCCTTCACTCTGTGAGGTTTTTAAAAGCATACTATGTACAAGTAACCCAAGGAAAAATCAAACATAGAAAGAGACACAAGTATCTACCCTCAAGGAACTTAGATCTATTGAGAGAGAGCAGAAGGACATAACATGTACCAAGATAAGTGTGATCTATGGCAGAATATAAGGGCAAAGGGGAGATTAACAAAAATTATTTTAAGAAAATTTGAGGAGAAAGAGATCACTGTCTCCTAGGGGATCAAACAAAGTTCCATTAAGGAGGCAGCCTTGAAGGAAATGAGTTTCAATAGGCAGATTTGTGGAAGGAGAGAGTTTTAGGCCTAGGCATGTCATCTGTTTTTAAGAAATAACCACTTTCATATTTTGTATATCCAGTACCCTGGAGGTTTTGTTGTATTGGGAAAATTATTATTTGTATGTAAATTTCCCCTTCAGTAATAACCATATTCTCATTTTGTCTGTCATTTAAAACTGACTTTGGGGAAAAAATTTAGTTCCCAGGAATAGTCTTTATTTTTCTGAAATATTTTGACTATAAAGTTACACTGGATGGCGCTGTCTTTAGATAATATAATCAGACTATCCAAAAAGAAAATTAGACTCAGTGACCTCTGGGATTTAAAGAACATTATTTTAACTTTTTGGACGATGGTAGGGGCAGTAATGATGGGGAATGGGTAACAGAACTATGAGAAGACATCCCAGGAAACTCTTTGTAGTATTTTTTAAAATAGCTATTTATTAAACAAGGTCTATGTATAAGTCATTGAACTAGAAACTGTGTGGTGTACAAACATGAATGAAAAAGAAGCTTACAAAAAGAGATTGTATAAAATGAATTTGTTACAAAATTGAGTTTATGTGGATGAGATGTTTGAAATGCTAAGAGATTTCCAAAGTGTGTGAAATTACTTCCATTTGGAAAAGTCAGAGAAAGATTTATGGAGGAAGAGCCACCTGAACTGAGCTCAAATGATGGAAAAGAAGCAGATGATGGAGAGAGCAGAAGAAGAAGGGAAGGATACAGTTCAAACAAAGAGGATGGCATGTCCAAAGGCACAGAGGCAGGAAAGGGTGAGAGAAGTGCACAGAGCAATAATAGTCACATTGGGCTGAAACATAAGATACAACAGGCAAATAGGATGTGAAAGGGCAAGAAAGGGAGATTGTAGGCAACTGAATTCTAGGTTAAGGATGTTGGACTTTATTTGCTATGTAATAGAGAGCAATAGAAGAATTTTGATCATAGGAATAATGTGATCCAGGTTATACATCATAGGAATTTAGCTAGTTTGCTTTAAGATACAGTTAAAATTCTGGTATCCTAAGTTATATAGACTGCTTTCTCAATATCATGTTTCAGGAAGTATTCAATAACATCTACCCATTTCTTCTTTTACTCCTTTTGTCTCTAAGTAAGTAGAATACCTTTATTATTGTTCTCTGGTGATTAGTATAGCCTAGTTGGTGAAGGGTTACAATGGAGGAGAAGGAGGAGGAAGGGGAGGAGAAGGAAGAAGAAGAGAAGGAGAAGGAAAATAATGAGGGAAGGCTAGGTTTTTATAGTAAAATTTTCACTTTAGGTGTCAATGTATAAAAGAAAACATGAGATACAATGGTAAATGGTTTCTTGCAGAAAAAGACAATTCAAGTTAAGGGTTTCTGATTGCATATTGATAGGTTATTGGTTACTGGTGTAGTGGATTGAGAACTGCTTTCAGAGTCAAAAAGATCTAGGTTCAAGTTCTGCCTCTGTCATATACTGGCTGTGTGGCCCTGGACAAGTTATTTAACTTCTCAGTGACCCCAGGTAATGTCTTAAGACTCTAAGTTGCAGGAGTCCCAGTCTGCATTGGTAGAGGAAACCCCCTCATGGGAGATTCCTATTACCAGGACTAGTCCATCCCACATACCCATACTCATCCCTTCCTCCCCCACACTCCCAGAAGATTGCCTTGGAGGGATATTTCAGGTGATATCAAAATTATTCCTTGTGCCTGTCTACCTTACCTGTGTCTTGCTTGTCCCTCCTAGAAGTCACCTGCTAAGAAGTTAACAAATGCACTAAGCAAGTCTCTGAGTTGTGCTTCCAGCCGTGAACCTTTGCACCCCATGTTTCCTGATCAGCCGGAAAAGCCACTAAACCTGGCTCACATCGTGTAAGTACATGCAGGCCATGGGGCAGCTGATCATGTTCTTGGGTTCTTGGCCATCATGTCATGTATTTATATTGGTTCTAAGGGAAGTATATATGCATTTACCAGAGTTCAGATTTCAAATCTAAAAATTTTAAATGAAAGACCATTTTTAAAAATGCCACAGCAAAGCAAATATTCTCTTTTCCCTTGACCTAACAGTGAATTAATTATAAGCTAGCTCAACCATCTTAAATATAGAAGGCTTTCAGAAATTGACAAGTTAGATGAGACTTCTGATATTGAGGAAATTATACTATTTGATATTTTAACATGCAAATACTAGTAGAATTTACATCAGCTAATAATAAGGAGAAAATGGATTCATTTGTTTGTTTTTTGGTGTTAAGTATATTCACCTCCTAGATGCTACAAACTCAGAAAATGAACTATCTATTCCTCCCCCCAACCTTCTTTTTCATTTCTCTCAAAAGCCAGAAGTTAAATGTAGTAGTGTTGCATAATGAATAGAGGGCTGACCTTCGATTCAGAAAGACCTGAATCTGTACTGACTCTGACATATAGTAACCATGTGACCCTGGGTAAATCATTCAGTTTTTCAGTGTCCCCAGACAATTCTCCAAAATTATTGTATAAATTAACCTGAGAGACTGTGTCAGTGGAGGGAGTTTCTACACCAGGAAATCCTCACTTCAAAAAATAATCGACACTAAACTGTCATCAAATCTGAAAGTTTTTATACCCCTGGCTGTATAACCGAGCCTAAGAGAGGACATCATGACGGTCAGCTAAGAATCCTCCTCCTTTCTCTCTTGTGCCTAAGCACAAGTAGATGACTATATTTCTGCTACAAGGGCTTACTATTTCCTACATTAAAATCTTCCCCCATGTCCCTGAAACTTTTTGCTCTGGTACAGCTGCCCTGCCATATCAAATAACATTATATTCTTCTCTGAAAGCCTCATAATTGGTAATTCACTGTCCCTAAAATACCATCTCTTTTCAGAGCTGACTAATATCGAATGATTGATGATATTTTCATGAGCAAACTCAAAAACAGGGCTATAGAGCTCCCATCCAAAGCTAGCTACATTTTTCAGTCATGTCCAACTCTTTATGACCCCATTTGAGGTTTCCTTGGCAGAGAAACTGGAGTGGCTTGCCATTTCCTTCTCCAGCTCATTTTACAGATAAAGAAACTGAGGCAAAGAGGGTTAAGTGACTTGCCCAGGGTCATATAGCTAGTAAGTGTCTGAGGCCATATTTGAATCAGGAACATAAGTCTTTCTGACTCTAGGCCCAGTACTTTATCTACTGAGCCACCTAGCTAGCTACATTGACAATTGACCATATGCAAACCAAAGAAAATTACTGTGGCAGTCAGTCAAAGAGATGATACTGTAGGCTCTCTCAAAAAATGAACAAACAAAAATATCTTTTTTTCCAAAGAACTTTTCTTATTTGCTCTGATCACCTGTCTAAAACAGCACATAAATGCTTCGTGCAGTATCCTGGTTGTGACCAATTTCTGCTTTCTGCTAAGAGTTGAGAAATAACTGTATTCAATAAGAGATATAATTAGTAGTCCCCATTATTAACATGCTCACAGTTATTTAGCTGCTGGTAAGAATTAGGCATCTGAGAAGCTGACTCATTTAATATCCTTAAAATCCTATACTATAAAATATGGTTATCTTTGCTTTGTCTTATTATAAATTTGTAGATCATTCCCAAGTGCTAATCATAGGCCCATGTTGAGTTGTTTTTCCTCTGCTTGGGGAAAACCACCTCATATATGCTGATTCTCAACTCTAAACTCCCAGAAGTCCCAATGTTATTAAAAAACCTTAGACTCTCCTCATCCAGACCCTAATTAATGAAAATCAGTAAGCTGCTAGAGAATTGTAATGGAGGTTGCCCCATGCTAACTGAGCTCTACTTCTGAATCCAACAGACATTAGTTCTCTTAAGAAGTACTTGTCTCTCCGGTAGAAGTTAACATATTTCAGCAGTCCAGTACCTCATTCAGTTCTGCTAGGCACAATGAAGATAGATAGGAAATGGATAAGAAAGTTCTTGCTCTATCAGCTTTGCATTTGAACTGAATTACTGCCACATCCTAAAAATAATTTGAAGTGAGTAGCTATGAGGAAGACGCTATCTATTTTCCTCCTAGTGAGTCCATGACAGGGTACAGAATGTTGTTTGTGATCCATAATAAAACATCTATTAAATCACAGGGAAAACATGGCCAACTATATTAGTTACTTATATTGACTGAGGAAAACTATGCATGTCCATTGACGATACATTTTGCAGTATTTTTTCTTATGTTTATTTTAAAGTAATACAGATTAAGCAACATCATGAGAAATATATCCATTATTACAGGAATTTAATCATTACTTTGAAGGTTTACAGGGTTTTTTGATTTGTATCAGTATGGAATGCTTTTTTCAGTTTTACACTTCTGTATATTCCTTCCCCCAAATACTGTTACATTGACCAGATAAACCATCATAATTTTTTTGTTGCTCTCATGCATGATTTTCTATTTTAAAATGTATCTTTTTAACTGTAGCAAATTATCATAGACATGTGATAGCCATCTCCTGGAATGGTTTATTAATCTGTTTAATCTCTTAGTTGAGCATATGTGTAGAGCTAGTCAATATTTACATTTATTATAGACATACCTTTTTAGGCAAAAATAAATATAGAAATACAATTCTCAGTTATTTATATAATGTGTATAGGCAAATACATTTATTTATCTCATCTACCTCACTGATTACATACATTTCTAAAGGCAATCAAGTCTATTCCTGCTCCATCTTACAACATTCAGGATATTGTGATACCTGGGAATTTAGAAATAGCCATCAGATATCATCCATTCCCTTTACCTTTTCATCCCAATAATGATTTATGACTTGGATCGAATTTGGTTCTAGTCTTCTTCGAGATCCATTCTCATATTTTTTAAAAATAGAAAATCACTGGAAGGAACAGATGTAAATTTCAGCAATGGATATAGCTTTGGCTTGATCAATATTTAGTAAATTGGTTGGATAGACTTTTTAAACTTCCTAAAAATCTTAGCGCCACTTTTTTATGTGAATTTTGACAAATGAATGTGGCACTGTAGACCCTAGCAATCTGAAATTTTTATAACTGCATGTTAGATCCAAGTAAAGATACCATATCGTTAGAGAATAATATAAAATAATATTTAAATGGAAAATATTATTTTAAATGAGAGAATTATTGTTACTTTTTTCACAGGGACGAGTGACAGATAAGCAAATCAACATAGAAAAAAATCATTTCCCTCTTTTTCCTCCCTTCCTCCTCCTCTTTTCAAGCAGAGGGCATTTAATGGTCTACCCACTTACCACTTATCTGCCCTCACTTAGCAATATTTAAATAGTTTTCAGGAGCCAAACAGCAAAGGAGTTATGATTTTCGCCTAGATACTATATTGTTCTTAAATGTCAGAATAATTAATGTTCTCTATTCTATTTTTGCTGCCAAAGAGATACTTGGTAAGTATTTTGTTAGAATCCAGTATACTTTTTTAAAGGCTTACAATTATAAATATAAATGGCTATGAAACACGTAATTATGAAGTGAAATATTGGCTTTATAGGCGTCCTAACCTATAATTTCCACATCCATAAATAAATCATTGGACTGTGTTAGCACAGACTTCAGGTGGTTGATTCCATCTTTTGACATTGCTTCTCTGGGCATCATGAGATTGGTTTAAAATCCTCAGTGTACCTTACTCAATAGAATGATTGATCTTTTAGTTAACAAGAAAGGACTATATTACTTAAAAAAGCAGTGTGGTGTTGTTCAAAGAAGGCAGGGTATCTAGTCAGGTCCTCCAACACTTACTAGTCATGTGACTTTAATCAAATTATTTAATCTCTCTCAGTTCCCTCTACTATGAAATGTAGGTTCCTCCAAGCTCTGACATGCTATTTGGAGAAAGGTATGGATAATATTTGATTCTGTGGCCAGTCATCCTACTTTGATACTTATGATGAGCTTGTTCTGACTTCTAGACAATGGAAAAAGGCATTAGTGTTCCACTTTATAAATTGATACTTGCCCATGGAAAAACAAAGGGCAATTAGAGAAGTATATGAATTTTTACATTTTAATTTTTCCTAGGATGCTTTTCTCCCAAATTTAGACATTTTAAAAAAAATTTCACTTTTTTAGATGGCTGCAAAGGATGAAAGCATTTCTTTGGTTCCATGCATCTCATTTTGAACTTGACTTTTGACAGTCCACAGTGGAAATTTTCATAATTCAGTTCAACAGCCTTTATTGGTTGCCTCCTAAATGTAAAGGACTATGCTGGATGCTGAAAAGGAGACAGTGATGAGAAAGACACAGCTTCTCTCCTCAGGAGCTCATAGTCTACTAGGGAATTATAAAACATAAATTTAACACAAACCAGAATATGGAAATAGAAGTAAAATATGGAGAGGATGGGAATTTGTAGACTGATTATCTCCTTCTAGCTTATAGATCCTATATTCCCCGGGTAGATCCCAAGTTAGAACTCCTTTTAAACATGACTAGCTAGTGTTACTCACTTTTGAGGGTATATCAAAATTAACAAAACAGAACATAAAGATAATTTTCACACCTTTAAATTATCCTGAAGCAAATGAAATAAAGGATCATTTTTATTGTTTTTAAAGCTAGAAGGGCTACCTTAGTCATATGGTCCATCCTCCTCATTTTTATGCCAAATGAAGGCCAGCTTACTGAGGTCAGAGCTGTGTGCATGTTTTACTGGAGTGGCCACAGAACTGAAGTAGCTCAAAAGAAACACAAGATGTGCAAATTTAGAGAATCTACCCCAGATGTTCACACTGACTATTTGTGCCTGACCTGTGGTAGAGCATTCCAAGATCAAATTAGTCTGATCAGCCACAGTTAGACACACTGTAACTTGACTCTAACATAGTGATACCATTTTGGTCCTCTTCAAGAACGAAGGACGACAAACAACCAATAGATGAGGAAACTGAGATTCAGAAATATTGAACAACTTGCCCAAGTTCATACATGTTGTTAAAAGCAGAGTTGAGATTCAAACCCAGATCTTCTGACCCTAAAGTCTTTCTACTATACCAATTTCTCTCAAAGTCATTAAGACTCTCAAGCTGTTTAGATTGAATTTTGCATCAAATATTGGAAAGAAGTAGCATTTGGTTGCATTTATGTTGATAGTGTGTGCGTATACACACACACACACACACACACACACACACACACACACACACACACCCTTGCAGACTATTGGTTGCATCCACATTCCTTCATTGTGATAGACAAGGTCACCTTTGTGCTACTAGGGCAACTTCTTATCTCAGAAGGACCAGAAAGTGTAGCCAGTAATAATGCTTCCCTAACTTAAAAATTAGAAGACTCATTATAAATTTCACTTTTTGCCAGACTCATACAAATATTTCTTTATTGGTACCTCTAATGGCTGGCAAATTATAGCAGAGTATTCTGCACTGTAAAGTTAAAGTCTGGAATTTCAGTGAAACCACAATTACTCTCTCACGCAGTGGTGTCTTTCTCCTCTTGCCTCTCCATACAAGGAAATACTTTACCTACTTCAGCTGTAACCAAGGATTATCCAATATTCAATACAAAATAAAACCAAAAACTATTCTTAATAATCAAAAATATTCTTAGCAAAACCAAAAACTGCTCTTAATTGAGTGCTTGGACATCAGCTTTTGCACAGAAAAGAGGTGAAAGAGATATAAAAGAGCATTCAGTGAAGTATAATAGTCAGGTGGGGCAAAAACAAGGTGTGAACCCTCTTGATTAATATTTAGTGCCTAGTAAGGCTTTGAGAGGCAGTGTGATATGCTGCATAGAGAGCCAGACCTTAGGTTCAAGTCTTACCTTTGACTTACACTGGAAAAGTCACTTTCTCACTGCCCCAGACAACTTCCCAAGACTGTAAGTTGCAGGACAATTACCAACATTGATGAAATCACAGAACTATCTCAGAAACGTCCTTTAAAAAGCGTTGGATCTCACTGGAGTGTCATTTATGTATTCTCCCTGTGTATTAACTATTTAAATCTGCTATGATGAGTTTTGAGACAAAAATGTGTTTTCAGAAGAAGCGCATATTAAATCCACATATTAAATATGAAAAAAGCATTAGACCCCATTGTTTCCCATCATTATTGGATCCCATCTCCCAGTGATAGAATGTAAGCTCCTTGAGGGTAGGAGCTGTTTCATTTTTGTCTATATACCCCAAGCATCTACCATAGTGACTGGCACATAGTAGTTGATTAATAAATACGTGTGATTACTCATTTGGGAGAAGTCTTAAGTTTTAAGGATGCCTCAAACTCTAGTACGACAAGGTGAGGAAAAGGGGGTGGTGCTCATACAGTGGAATAACAATCTATGGGAGAGGGCTGTCATCATGACCTGGAGAACTAAGGTGAGAATGAAGCCGAAAATCTAAGTTCATAGGATAACAGATAGAACTGGAAGGTCATCCTAGTTCAGACCTTTCATTTTTCAGATGAGAAAACTGAGGCATGACTTGCCCAAGATCACCCAGGCAGTAAGTAGTAGAGATGGGATTCAATCATTTGGTTCCAAATTCCAGGTTCTTTCTATAACAAGACATTGCCTGCTTTAAGGCCTGGGCAGGAATAGTTAACAAAGCTTGCTCAGTTCTCTTAAGTCATGCTTCTCCTTCCAAGTGGAGAAAGATTATAACTATTTATCAGTTAGCAAAACCCTCTCCCGTTTTTCAATAGTCATGATCATAGATAGTTCTATGACAGTATTTTCTCCTCCACTGGGAGAAGTTAAAAGAATGCAGCATACAATGCTCTAAAAGGCAAAAGTGAGAATAGTGTGCATACTGATGAAGGATGTCTTTCATTTTTCTCCTGGGGTCTAATTTGGGATTTTGCATTCATGGGAGTATATTAACCTCTTTCACATAAAAGTACTATAGAAGTCAATTGGAAAATATCAAACTTTGCGTGCAATCAATTTATATTGGGCAGGAGAGAACCATGACCCTTTTTTTTTTCCAGTGGAAGAGATGAAAGGGGGTGGTTATTTTATTAAGGCTTTTCTTTATTGTAGGCCTCCCAGACCTGTAACCAGCATGAATGACACACTGTTCTCCCACTCTGTTCCCTCCTCAGGAAGTCCTTTCATAACCAGAAGGTAAGTTCAAATGCTATCATAAAATGTCACCTCCTTGATAAATGAGTCTTGAGTCTCTGGTGGGAAAAATATTCTACTTTGAACCATTTAGGGTAAATGTGGGTTGAAAGCTAATTTGGAAATGTAACTGATCTTAATTTCATTCATTATACACTTAAGGAAGGCAGCTGACTCATTGATTTAATATTATTTCTGGAAGTCTAAGTTTACATCCTACCCACAGTAAATTTGTTCAAATCCCACTTGTAATATGCACTACTTCTGTTGGAGAGAATATGAAGTGAAAACCCTAGCTAAATTGCACTTTCTGATATCTGGACTGCAGTTCAAGAAGTTCATAAAAGCCAAAGAGTTGCACAGGTTTTTGGAAATACTTTGATTTGTTGTGCATGGTCCAAAAAAGTCTCATCACCAAAACCATCAGCTGACAAAAACATCCTTCTTGGCAAATGTTACTGTATTCAGAGCAAGGGGTCAAATCAATAGCTGGGAGGTGTGGTTTCCATGACAGTTTAATAAGTAAAACAAGAAAAATGTGTGGAAGTTTGTTTCATCTTCCATGTATTAATTTCCCCATGATCTAAGGGCAGGAATAATTAATACCTCTGAGTTGGTTACACATTAGAAATGTCAAGAGGAACCCTATGCTATTTTATCAACAAAAATATCAAATACATCAAATTATGGTATGAAACTTTGTTGTTTTGAGTACAAAGAGCACAGTCTAATAGGAAAGCAAAAGCAGAGATATAGGAGTAAAGAATTTCCCACACAATCCCAAATGACTCTAAAAAAAGTTACAATGGTCACACATACCACAAAATAATCACAAAGCCATTCACTATAGAGCTAACATTGTTTCTGAGCTACTTAGTGTTTCAGTGTTTACTAAGGAGGGCTTGAAGCAGAGAAAAATAGTACTTGCTACTGTTCTTCTTGCTGATCCACTGCTGTCCTCATACATATATCAGGAGTGACCGGCGATAATGGCATTCCTTACGCTTGTAATTAAAGGAGTAAAAAGAATATGGCAGCGTTTCAGTGCTAGACATGAAGAATTCTAACATAGGAATGTTACAGGAATTATACTAGCTCATTCAACAGAGCGACAAAATATTTAACTTGACTACTACCCAAGAACCATCAGCCAATTCAATTGTTTCTTCAAAAATGAAGTTATGAATTGTCAGACCCAGTCAGAGGACAAGGCATTGTTTTTTCATTATAGTCTGGGAAGATTCCAGTTAATGTTCAGAAATATATTAAGGTCTTCATTTGATCTTTGCTATACTTTCTCTAGGAAACAGTGCATTCTGCAAATGCTCAACCAGAGGCTGACTCCATCCTTATTTCAGGTCATTTTATATCATTTCAGCTTGGACGGTGCTTATGGTGAATGCGTCTAGATGGATAACATGACTTCCTCCACCCTAAAATATTCCTAGGATACTCTGAGCTGCTCTGGGTCCTCCAGGGTGCCCGGTGCCCAGTAAATCAAAATGGTGGCAATTGTTTTAATTTGTTTCCTTTTTTCAGGTTCTTTGGAATGTTTCCTTAGAACCCCAGAGTTGTTTTAAATGATTATATCACATCCTGTGGCAGCCTTGGTTTGCCTCTGGTGTCTATTGCCAAGGGTCCTGTCTAATAAAGCTGTGTCCACTGAATGTCTTTCTGCTCTGACTGGGGCTGGGCTGTGTCAATGGACAATTTTAATGAGGTCTTATTGTTTGAATCACTCAGGTTACTTGAGGGTGCGAGTGCAGCCAGTCCTGTGGCTGATGAGCATTCTCTCATAAAGCTGTATGTAAATCAGCTTCACAGCAACTCACGGTCAGTATGTGCGCACTAAATCCCTAACTGCTGTCGTTTACTAGCTAAACCATCATTAGTCATTCTACTCAGTTACTAAAAATGCTTTGGCAGGATGCCTCAGTGGGGATAGAGGACTTCTGTGGTTTTAATGAAATTCCTATTAAACATCCAAGCAGTCCTGAACCTTCAGCACACTTGCTCCCTTCTTTCTTCCTTTAACACAGTTATTTCATATGATTTCCCACCTTTGTACTGATGTGTAGCAGGTCTATTTTTTCCGATTCTGGCAGGTATTCTAGATCCTCTTTTTGGTATCAAGCCTCTGGTTTTACACAGCTTTGCTCAATGTGACCAATAAATGCCTCCTGGTAGACCCAGATGGTGATTTCTGAGACATCCTTAGTGGGAGAGATGCTATGAATGTTCATTTGTAAGAAACAAATGGCTTCAAGTAGCCCGAACCTTTCTTTTTTTGGGAAAGAAAAGAGCTGGGGATTGAAGCTCCTATGCCCCTTTGAGAAGAAACATGCCAGGTCTTTTTCTTTACCGAGGTGACTGAGCAGGTCTGAAATGGTGTCATCACCCCCACATCTATGCCAAGACGTATTTAATGCTGATCATGGTATGATTTCAGTTATTACTGTGAGAGTAGCTCAGTCCATCTCCCCCATTTATCTTATCTTCATTGTTCATCATGGAGAACATGGACACAAACATCTGACATCTTTCTCAGACTCGTGAGTTGTCAGGCTTTCTGAAATGCATTTAGTTTTAACCATACTGTTGTGACTATCTTTGGGGCTCTTCCCCCTACTCTTTCATTCTTCTAGATGACATGCAACCTAACAATTCAAGAAAACTCTAACCAGTGTGTTTGCAAAGGGCATTCGGTAGGTAACTCAATTTGACAGACATCCTTTTCCTCTGCATCCATTGCCTTTACCTGGAATTTTCAGTTACCTTTATGTTGTTAAACAACTCTTTATCAACTTTATCTCTTTAACAACTAGCATTGAAAATAAAGCAGAGAGAATGAAAAATAGAAATCTTCACCCAAGCATTTCTTGCTACAGGTTCTTTGGCAGCTACCAACCTGGGGTTCTTTGCAGTTACAGTTTGATCTTCAAAAGGCACTAGAATATTTGAATTTTTCCAGCAATTTCCCTTATACAGATTTAGAAGCATATCGTTCTTATGTCCATCATTACTCCATCACACTCTTTTTCAAACCAAGTTTTGACAATTTATCTATACCTAAAAGCCAGGAAGTGATCCTCACAGACTTACTCACTCTTGGCTTTTTGTGTGTTTGCTCTAGTTAAAAAAGCAAAGGTCTTTGTGTTTGATCTTCAACTGGAATATTTGGCTCCACTATTTTCCAGGTCCCCTGGACCCAAACTGTAGCCAGCTATTTTGCAAATGCATGGCATTATGCAAGAATGTATATAAATCGACAGAAAGCTATAAGCCTTGCCTCAATATATTCCCCGTGGATAGTGGGTCAGTAACATTACCTTTGGGTACAAAAGGCACCATCTCGTTACAAGATCAAAAGATCATAGATTTATATCTACAAAGGCTTTAGAAGCCATTAAGTCCAAATGCCCTCATCTTAAAAATCAGGAAACTGAGACACAGGGAGTGACTTGCCCAGGGTTATAAAATAAGTGTTTAAAGCAGGATTTGACCCCAGGTCTTCCTGGCTCCAAACTGAGTGCTCTAACCACTACACCATTTTACCTGTTACTCATTATCATCATTTTCGCAGTTATCTTGTGACCGAGCCAGTTTCACAATACCACACACACCCCCTTTGCAATAAGCACCTCAAAGCATCTTTCTTCAAGGCCCAACCACCTTCTAATTTAATTGTCTTGACCTTTGTGTGCTTATATGAACAGCATGGCGTTGGCATGGGCTGAAGCCAATTCCTATTCCCTTCCAATTCTTTGGAGTAAAGAGCATCCTCAGTTGTTTTCAGCTTTCTGCAGTGGCCAGATGTGAAGAATGCATTTAGATACTGAGTTGCTGTTTTGCCTCCAATGTGAAAGGCTTCACTTACAGGCTCGATTTGTGTTCCTTTACCATGCTTGTCACTAAGTAAGAGGTCACTTTTGCAGTTATTCACTGTGAAGCCAAGCCTCGCCACTCTGCCAACTAAATAGTAAATATCTCATGATTCACAAAACTTGAATATGATTAACATGCTAAAGACTTTCTTCTCTGGTACTTCCAGATCCCGGTTAGTGAGCCAGACATTTTTACTTCAACAACAGTGCATCTGTCACTGTGGTACAAACAAGGAAAGTACAAATTTTCCTCGTGTGTAGTTACACATCGCTTACCCGCAAGGACTTCTCTCAATCCGATGTAGCCTTTCGAAATAACTATTCAGTTCTCTGAGTGTTTGCATTTTACATGAGAACTCCCCCTCATCATAACTTGGGCCTTCTGTCTTGACTGTGCTAAATTGGCGACTGTTCATTTCCATTAGGGGACAGTTAGGTGGTGTGGGTGGATAAAGTATTAGGCCCAAAATCAGGAAGACTCATCTTTCTGAATTCTAATCCGGCCTCAGACATTTACTAGCTGTGTGACATAACCCTTTTTGCCACAGTTTCCTCATCTGTAAAATGAGCTGGAGAAGAAAATAGCAAACCACTTCAGCATCTTTGTTAAGAAAATCCCAAATGAGGTCATGAAAAGTCGGATACTACTGAAAAACAACTAAACAACAGCATTCCTATTAAAATCTCAAGTGACCTGTATTTTATGGGAGGTTCTATAAATTCACTTTTTCTCCCTAAAATTGGGCTTTTTCCTCCTGAATGATTTCTTCAAGTTTAAAGCCTGTAACTTTCTTTCAGAAAAAAAGATATGATTTTGAGTCAATATCTAAATCAACTTAAAATTTTCCTACTATCATATTTACTTTACCTATTAATATGAATTGTCTGAGTTAAAACAGTCACTGCAGGTAAATTCTGTTGTAAGATGCACCAGAGCAATGTGAATATGTTAGAATTTTAACTTAAAATGGAGAGAAATCATATTTTAACTCCAGCTATTGACCATATTAAATTTTTAGCACATAATTAAAACCACAAGTCCCCTATCTTCCTTGCATAGCTAACATCCATTTCTTAGCTTCCGATGCTTTAGTTGTAAGCTAGAACTTTCATGTGAAGGGGCAGCTAGGTGGCCCAGTGTCTAGAGTGCTGGGCCTGGAGTCAGGAAGACTCATTTTCCTGAATTCAAATCTGGCCTCAGATACTTACTAGTTGTGTGACCTTGGGCAAGTCACTTACCCTTGTTTGCTTTAGTTTCCTCATCTGTAAAATGAGCTGAAGAAGGAAATGGCAAGCCACTTCAGTATCTTTACCAAGAAAACCCCAAATGGAGTCATGAAGAGTCAGACACAACTGAAAAATAACTGAACAACAATAAGAACATTCATGTACAGAGATAAATTGTTTCTTGGTAATATGACTATTAGTAATAATAATTATTCAATAGATTCTGATGCTAAGCAGTAGGAAATACTCTGGTAAATTTAGTCATCTGAAGAGCGACACAAGTAAATTTTTCATTTCTAGCATGCTATGGAGTCAAGATACCATTGGTGTTAGGCTGAATTAATTTGAGCTGGTTTCCCAGTGTTAACTCCAACAATATTTAATACATAATGATTTGTTTGTGGCAAGCATTTTAAAATTTAAAATCCAAAGGACTAAAGACAGAAAAAAAGTAGAAGGGGGAGGCAAAAACCTTAAGAAGAAGCATTGTTAGAAACCAAAAAAAAAATTTTTTCAATAAAGTTTCTTCTCTGCAGATAAAATACATTGGTATGTTATCATATTGCACAGTCTTAAATTTATTTAAATTAATTTGATAACATCAAGGTCTGAGTATACTTACACATGGTTTATACCTGAGTATAATATATTCATTCTTCTTTGAAAGCTACTTACATATATTAATTTTACCTACCCATATTTTGCTGATATTCAATGATGTTCTATCAGTTAAGGTTATCATATATTTAACAACTAATGAAAAATTCAGTCTATAATTATGTTGAAGCACGTTTTTTCCAATCATTAGGATACTCATCACCCCACACTGCATTATATAGTTTGCTTTTAGAAAGTTCTTCTCCTCAAATACAACAATTTGGACTTTTCATATAACATTTAATAGATAACATTCTCTTTAATTGGAAGATTTTAAAAGAAATGTTCTGCATGTAAGCTAAAAGGTCAGTATGTATGTGTTTGACCTGTTGTCCCTTTGACTTCCCAAAAGAATCCTTCACAATAGCCAAAAAAGACAAATAACAATTGTCATCTTTCATAGCTTGATGGAGTTGGAGAAGGGAATATTAGAGGAAATATATAAAATATTTATATTTCTGTCATTTTAGAGGTCACTACTGCTAATATTTGAAGACATTTCCATTATGCAATATGTCTGTACCTTTTTTCATTGCTCAATACACATGTATATAAAAATTTTTTATGTTATGCCTGATGGGGATGGAATGTGAATGACCCTATGCCTAATGATGAGAAGGCATGTATACACACACACACACACACACACACACACACACACACACACACATAAATGTATATGTGTGTGTGTATATATATATATATATACACATATATACGTGTGTGTGTTTGAATGATTAAGTGTCAGGGTAGTATACATATATATGCCTTCAACATAACTTCACAAGATGGTAGGAAATATCTGTCAACATCTGTAAAGTGTTTGTTAATGGAACTGTATTCAGTTCAATGTAGGCAGTACCCAATTTACAAATAAGTTGTGTATGTTAATTCATTCAACAGATATTTGCACCGTCATTAAATGTCATGAATGAAGCAAAGATACACAAAATAAAGGCCTCGCTTTCAAGTAGCTTATAATATAATTAGAGCATATAAAACATGCACAAGACAAAAAAATATATAAAATGTTACAAGTAATATGGGAGAAGTACAAAGTGCTACAGGAATTCCAAGAAGGAAAAATCACTCTTGACTAGGTAATATCATACTCAGCTTCATGGAGGAATTGATATTTGAGATGGGTCCTGAAAAATGGTGAGGGTTTTGACAGATGAAGACTCGGGAAGGACACAAATTGAAGGAAATACCATGAGCAGATTTATAGAGCCAAGAAAGGACAAGGAATATTTTAGGAACAAAATGCAATGGTCCAGATTGCCTAAATGTAGGATGCCCATGGGCTATAGTGGAAGACAGGGTTCAAAGAGAATGTTGGTATTAGATCAAAGTGGGCCTACAGTATTAGGCTAGTGAGTTTAGACTTTATTCAGAAGACAATGGAGAGTTAATTGTAGCTTTTTGAGTAGAGGAGTAGTATCAGAACTATGCATTAGGAAGCCAAATCTGCCCACAGTGAATAGGATAGGTTGGAGGGACAAGAAACCAGAGATAAGAAGACCAGTTAAAAGACGATTGCAGTAGGCCAAACAGGAGGCAATGAGGACTTGAACTACAGTTGTATGGTGGAAATGGAAATGAAGGAAAGACATAAGAGATTTCTGCTAGAATTGGTAAAACTTCAAAACTAGATAAAAGGGTGAAGGAGAAGACTGGGCCAATGATAATTCTGAGGTTTTATTCTTAGTTGGTTTGTTTGGAATGTAGAATGCATTTTCCTAAATATTCCATGTTATTAATTGTTGTTACATTCCCAGTTCAGACTTCAACAGCTTATTTAACCCATAATATGCCTGAAGCATAGTATTACACTTTAGTAATTCTGTATTATCTAACCAACGTATATAACATATTTATGTGTGAAAAAAATGCATTCATAATTGCATCTTGGGGATTTCAGACAACTGTCTTCACTGCCAAAACCCTAACAATAGACCCAAGCTCTTCCCATTCCTATTTTCCAGTGAAATGAAAATTCTTCTGGCTCCAAGCCCTGGTGGTAGTTCCTATAGCTTGGACATGGGTTCTAGCAGGGTAGGATGTTTGACTGAATCCAAACTTCACAGAACAAATAGGCCCATGTTGGCCCTCTAGGTCCTCAAGTGCGGCCCTTTGACTGAATCCAGTAGGGATCTGTGAAGTTTGGAGTCAGTCAAAGGGCTGTACTTGAGGACCTAGAGGGTAGCATGTGGCCTCAAGGCCATGGGTTCCCTACCCCCTATGAATATCTAAGGTCCCTTCCATCTCTGAAACTATAATCTTAAGAATAGTTCTACAACTTCTCTCCTATTCTTTCCCCATCCCTGAGGCAAGTATATAGTCTTCTTAAACTTTTCTAAAGGTTCTCTTTTTTTTTAAACCAGCAGCAATGGATAAACAATTGAATAAAAATAAGGGCAGCTAAGTGGTGCAGTGGCTAGAGCACTGCGCCTGGAGGCAGGAAAATTTCTCTTTGGGAGTTCAAGTCCAGCCTCACTGTGACCCTGGACAAATCACTTAACTCTGTTTGCCTCGGTTTCTTCATGTGTAAAATGAGCTGGAGAAGGAAATGGCACACAACTCTAGGATCTCTGCCGAGAAAACCCCAAATAGGGTCAACAAGAATCAGACACAGCTGAAATACATGAAATGAACACAGGGATTGCCCATATGTGCAAGAAAAAGCAGGTAGTTTTTTCAGATAAACACCAAATAATGCAATTCCCCAGACTCCCTGTGAAGCATGGGTGGTAGTTGTCATAAACTGCTGACCAGGAATCGGTGCTTCTTAATGACTTTAAGAAAGAAGGCAACAGACAGTGGGAGAAAGGGATTAGGAAGATAGATAAACATGACACAAAATTACAGGGCACTCATGAGGACAGTAAGTAGGAGAAGACCAGAAGCATCTGTTGCTGCAAGATCCACACAGCTATAATTGATAACGGAGGAAAAAGTAGTGGAGGAGTTTCCTGCCCCAAACTCAAAAACCACCTGCGGAATCTAGTGTAAATTCGTTACACCATGAAACCCCAAAATGGATTTGAAATTCATTTCCCAGATAGAGGAAACTGTTTTCCTAGAAAAGCTTCTCTAATCTAGATACTCATTCATTCTATCTGGCATTTAGGTAGGGAAAGGAAAAAAAAAAGAAATATAAGAGCTCACCCATATATACAGTACTTTAAGGTTTGCAAAGTACCTTACCTGTATTATCTCATTTGATCCTCACTACAAACCATTGGGGAAAGTGGGTACTTTTATTATGCCCATTTTAAAGATTTAAACAGAGGCTGAGAAAAAACATTTAATGACTTAGCTGGAGTCATACAGCTAGAATGTGTCTGATAAACATTCAAAGCCCACTCCTCTTAACTGAAAATGAAGCACTCTATCAATTCCAGTCTTAGAAGGGTCACTGTGAACACGATCGAAAAAGAATTCAAGCCACCAAAGTGGGACAGGCAGCACCAGCCTCACCCTCTCCCACAAACACAAATCTAGCCGCATGATTATCGCCAGTCCTCTTGCTATTTTAGTTGCTGTCATTTCATGTCAGTGGCCCCGTGATGGTAGTAAGTTTCCAGTGCATTATTGATCCTCCAATTTTATGGTACTCCTTATTACTTAATACTTCACCAGATGTTAGAAGCAAATATATCTTTCTTTCACAACAGTATTTTTCTTTGGTATTCTCCTTGGAATGGACATGGAAATAAAGTCCAACTCCTGGGAATAAGAGGATAGAAGAAAAAATAGCTAAATTGGTTAGCTAGAAAAGCAATACCTGGCATGGTAAACAGTAATTTGCGTAGTCTTCAGAGATCCTGAAGTAGGTCAGATACAAACACATTTTGGGTAAAAACTATGGTAAAACTCCATGATTTGTGGGCAGAGCTCATAGAGAAAAAGATAGTCATTGAATGAAACTGAGTTCCGCAACATTATCCAGTGCTGGTCAAAAAGCATGTGCTTTGGGCATCATTGTAATACATCTCCAAAAACCCCATGTGTAACTGAGCTTATTACGAACACTTTATGAGCAAAGCTTAAATGTATTCTTTGGCCCTATCCTGGTAGGCTTGATGACCTCAGTTGGGGGAGGGGATGGAGATCAATATACTCATTAGTATAGGTGGCTTCAATCTAATTTAATAGTCAATTATGTTTTCCTGGGGTTGCACGTTCTAAGTAAATGGGTACCACACCCTGTGTAATAGATTTGTTCTTAAACATTGCATGAAATCAAAATTTTAGTAAATTAAAATAGATTTAAAATCTTCTAAGAAACCTTGATATTTGAAGGAATTTGTTATAAATCTCTTTGTAAAGCAATAATTCTGATTGTAAAACAAACTCCCAATGTATATATTTTATAAATTCCAATATTTTAGTGTTTATTTTTCTTAAAGTAAGGTACATTTGTAGTCATTAAGCCAATTAAAATTGGTCATAGTCAGAGTTGAGGAATTCACACTATTTTATGTGGCAAATTCTGGGTGAATATTAATTTGGTTTAAGCATTATAAAAGTTTTTAAAAGGATGTAATTTTAACCTTGGTAATAAAGTATTTAGAACTCAAACAAGATTGGACAAGAGTTTGCTTTTGTTCCATCCATGAAAAAGAATGATTTTCTAATAATAATAATAAATCAAGCAAAAATTACAAGGTTAGTATTTAGCCTACTTATGGGCATGTTGTTTGTAAGTACTTTATCAAAATCATTTACATACTAAGAATTAATTGCTCATTACAAATGAACCTTGTTCATTAAAAACAGATCTGCCAAGACATCTAATTGGCAAAATTTCATTAGTCATTAATTTGCATTACTGTGAGTAGTTTAAAGTAGTAAAACTGCATTTCTTTAAAAGTTTCCTGTAATTTATTCTTTATACTGGTTAAGATTGACCTCCCCTCATAATTAATGCAAATTAATGAGATTTTTATTCCAGTTCATGAAGTTATTTAGATCGTGCTTGCAAGTAGACATAAAGAATGTTTTTTTAATAGCAACTATCTATATTAATAATGTTCAAGGGATTAGTAATAATAAAATGTTCTTTTTATTTCTATAGTCACATTTAATATAAGGACAAATGATATGTTCTCAGATATAAAGAAGCGACTCAAACCTTGGTCTTCGTATTTGCATTCTAAATCATATATCATTCTGTAACTATAGTCATAAGAGATAACAGTCTAAGTAATAGCATCATAGTTAGGGCTCTGTCAGCCCAGGAAATTATAGGCATGCTGTATTAGAGAATTTATGGTACTTGAAGAAGGCATACTTTAAATTTCTAGTGGACCTATTGAATGAATGGGGTGGGTGGGTGGATGGAAAGATCAATGAATGAATGGTTTCTTTTCTGAGTTTGAATGGGTCTATGTTTCTATACCAAGTTGAACTGTGCAGTTATCTGAAATCTTGTCCTTAACATTTAAATCTAATAAAAGTGATTTGTCCGCAGATATGGTCCTATGTCACTCATGTCTATTCTTGAATGCTTATCAATGCTGACACTCTTCTTAGCTTTCCCATCTCATTAACTAGCCCTCCTCACAAGAATACTGAAGTAGAGCAGAGCAAACTGCTGGCTAGGGCCGCTCCAATTTTTCTGAAAGGCAAAGGGTAAGTTAAAGACATGGTGTGTTGGCATCTCTTATTAACACAACTAAAAACAAAGTTTTCTTTTTTTTTTAATACCTTTTTTGATTCTGCTCTTAATACCTTTTTTGAGTCTGAGCAACGGTTTCATTGTAACCCAATTAACCACGTTAAGTAGATGTTTCAAGTAATGTACTTAAACATCTGTGTGTTTTTGAATCTCTGGCGTGATTTTTGTTACTTCAGTACTTGAGCTTAAGCTCTTGATTAGATATTCCAAAAAATAACTAATCTTTGCCTGGAGCCTTTTTCAAAGCTTGCACTGTAGAAAAAAGCTAACTTTAACCTTTGTGTTTTTTTGGACAATGTAAATCAGGTTGTTTTTTTTTAAGTAGTTTAATCCAAACGAAAGTCTTTTATAAATTGGTAAAAGGGAAATGAAAATGTCAGTATTGAGTTTAGTGTTTTTATCCACCCACTCCCACCTGCACCCCTAAGAAAATGACTCACCATTGTGTCCTGATTGCCATAAATTTCTCTCTGCCGCTCCTGACTACGCCGTTTGCTCCCACCCCTGTTTCAGGTTACGCTACAGCCTGGATGTTGCAGACAGGCTAGCTGATGAACATGTTCTCATCGGGTTGTATGTCAACATGCTTCAGAGCAAGCCTTCACGGTTAGTGCAGGTTTGGCCCTTGGGCAGCCAAGCTTAATCTGAAGGAGAAGGACCCTATCCAGTTGGTGACGTTATGTTTCAGTGTGGTATACTGTTGTATATCAAAAGAGCAGTCCCCAAATCAGCTAGATAAGAAAAAAATACACATATGTATATAATATATATTATATATACACACAAACACACACATACACATATAATTAAGAGGTCTATGACTCTATTTACTTGATGTCTTTGAGTATCAGTATTCATATGCCAGAGAATCCAAGTGATTATTTATACCATTGCAAAGACAGGGAGTATGATATACTTGGTTTCTAGCTAGAGAATTACCATACAGATGGACTCATGGTTTTGGGATGGGAACCAGCCACTCAGTGCTTTCCTGAAAGTCATCATAGAATTTAGTTTATTCTAAGGACATTTCTGGCTCTTGTAGATTAAAGGGTAATGTTTCATTTAAGTTGTGATTAAAGTGAAAAGGAAGGAAATAAGATAGTCAACTAGAAAATTGTTTATGCAAGTTTGAGGAAAATATGCTCTATTAAATCACTAAGACTTTATTCTGTCTTCAGGGACTAAGAATTTGTTTATATTTCTTGTGCAATGACTACTTTACAGTAATACAGTTTAATTCAACAACTATTTCTTTTTTTTTAAGACAGTTCAACCAGACTAGAAATGCAGGGGCCAATCACAGGCGCAGTCCTACAATTGATTGGCACAGGAGCTTTGACCTCCTCCATTTCCAACCTGGACTGTTGATCCCTCCGTAGGCAACCTGGTGATCCCTGTTCCCATGGACTCACTATACTGATGTTGAACTTAGTGCACTCAATCAGTTTAAGTCACTGTAGCTTAGAACTCCTGAGCTCAAGAGATTTGCCAGCCTCGACCTCCCTTTTACTTGGTATTACAACTCAACAAGCATTTTATTAAGTGCCTTCTGTGTTTAAGACAGCATGGCATAGTAGTTAATAGTATAGACTAGACCTGGAGTCCCAAAGACTTGAGTCCAAATTCCACCTTTGGCATGTATGACTATATAAGACTATGTAATTTTTCAGAAGTTTAGGCAACTCCCTAAAATGTATCTACTAAAATTAAGTCTTTTGATCTAGAGAGGAAGGGAATTCTCCACAATAACAAAATTATGGTAGTGCTTCTCAAAGTGTGTCCCAGGGAACCCTGGGGTCCCTGAGATCCTTTCAGGGGTCCTTGAGGTGAAAGCTATTTTAATCATAATAATAATGTCACTAATTTCTAACATGCTAAATATCAATAGATCTGACTCACATAAATGAAAGCTCTTTAGGGGGTGGGGTTCCTCAACAATTTTTAAGTATCGGAAAGGATCCTGAATCCAAATGGTTTGAGAACTGCTGGTTTACAGATAAGATTCTTCTACTTCATGAAAGATGCTGGGACACAAAATTTTAAATGACCCAATACTTGTCTGCCCTCAAACAGCTTATGAGTATTACATAAAGAGTTCATATTTTTGTTTTGTCTCAGTTTATATTAATCATAAATATTTATTTGTACAAGTTATATGAGAAAAGTGGTAGTCTTATTCATGTTCCAGTAACATTCTTAAAAATCAAAGTCTATTAGCAAATTCATTAATTAAGCTTATTTACATTTCTGCCATCAAATGTAATAATTTCTTTCTTTGAACTATGGGTTTCTTAATTAATTGTAGTTGTGACTGTGCATTGGCAAGAGGTAATGCACTTGGACTTCATAATGGATTATGAATCTCGCTTTGTGGGTGTGTATATGGGGGGGAACGAAATGAGAGGGGGAATTTGACCTGATTTCACTGGTTTAGGGAACTCCCAGTAAAGAAACTCCTTCCCATAATGGAGGTCAGCATCTGCTCTGCAACTTATCATCTCCGAGAGCTGCTGAGGGCACTGAGAAGTTAAATAACTTCCCTGGCGTGACTCAGCCAGTATGTTGCAGGCAAGACTTAAATCCAGCTCTTTCTGACACCAAGGCCAGCTCTCCATCCTTTCTGTACTGTTTTGCCTCTTCTAAGTTGCCCATAAATTTTATATTTATTTCAACTGGTCTATACCCACTCCTACCATTTTCCTACAATATCCCTTTATCATAACTCCTCTGATTCAACAGTGTCTTCCCCACTGTCACCCACTGGATTCAATTTGGCCTTTAAATAAATAAATAAATATATAAATAAATAAAGTCCAAACACCTCCGTGCCCTCCATAATCTTACCTTAATTATCAAGTGTTAACCTTCCACTTCTCAGTGTACCTCACACAGGACATGTTCATTTCATCTCTATGCCTTTACTCACTCTGTTTTCCCTGCTTTTCTTCCCTCTCCATACCCTGCTTTTCATGGCCAACCATGTCTCACCTCATCTGTGAAACTTACTCTCAACTATTCTGCCTGCTCCTGAGAACTCTCCTAGGATTTACCTATAATTATTTCATGGGTATATGTTTTTTCCCCCAGAAAGGTTATAAGTTCGTTATATACCTCATAGTGCCTAGCACAGTCCTGAAGACATCTCAGATTTGTTGAATTAAACTGAATTTCTTAGTAGAAATCCCAGGCTCACTCACTGTTAATTTTATATAATAATAGTTTTACATATGCAAATATTTTGAGTATTTGATTATAGTTTTACTTAGGCAAATAACAGATTTCTAAGACAGGATAGTATTTATCAATTTGCTAATGGTTGTTACTTGTTTACAGTTATTAGTCCAAGGTCTTCAATTATAATAACATCTTAGAACTGGATTGTTTGATACATCTAAAAGTGCTTTCATATACTTCCACACTAATCAGCCTGTCAAAACTTCTAAAGGAAGGAATGATTGTTTTAATCTAATTTCTGGTGCATTTAGTGATATGTTAATTTACAGAAATGATTTTGATACATAGAAATTTTATCTAGTCTTCAAACATGAATCTTGGCTACAAATGAATTCCTTTGTGAAGACAATGTGATGGTCTCCTTTTATCCACAACTTCCAGTGGCTTCCAACTACTTCAACCATTTCTTGGCCCTTTTCTTAATTAAAATAGCAACATTTTTCTAAATTACTGAAGAAGAAAACTGTCATTCTCAGACATTTTCACTAGCTGCTGCTTAATCACAATGACTTCTTCATTTACATAAGGCCATAAAACTGTCTCTATAGATGTATTACCCACCCACGTGGAGATAACCATATGTTACTTATGGAGAAAACCAAAAGTAGAATTAAAATTATTAAATGAACAGTCCCTGTTCAAAAAAGACATCCTTCAAATTCCCTGAGATTTTATCTTCCCTTTTAATTCTTCCATTCTCTCTTCCCAATATTGTTTTGACTCATCATCCTTTCCACCAACATATTACATTGCTAGGTCTTGCATAGATCCTTAATTTTTTTCATTTTCTCTTGACCCTCTTCCTTTTCACTGTTTTAAAAAATGAACTTTGGAACCTAATAATGTCATATGTGTATCAGAGATTTGAAAGTACTATAATGATCTACTTTCCCTCACCACCATTACTCTTACCAATAATAACTTTCTCTTGCTTTAACACTAATGCATAGTTCTCACCTCTTTGGGAAGGAAAAAAAAACAGTTCAAAACTTATTTTCCAGGAAGCTTCCCTGGTCTTACTTGAACTAACTCTGATCACTGTATTCCTTAGTACCTCAATATTCCTGCACTACTGAGGCAGTTGGGTGGTACAGTGGGTAGAGTGTTTGACCCAGAGTCAGGAAGACCTGAGTTCAAATCCTAATTTTAGTGTGACCTTGGGCAATACAATAACCTCTTGCCTCAGTTTCCTCAACTGTAAAATGGGGATAATTACAGCACCTAACTCTAGGGCTATTGTGAGGATCAAATGAGATAATATTTGAAAAGCATTAAGCATAGTGCCTGGCACACAGTAAGTGGTATATAAATGCTAGCTAATAATATTTATTCATCTTAAATTAGATTCATTTATACTTGTTCGGTGCTGTTATGCAGGTGTTCTTTAGGCATTTTATGCATTAATGTTTCAACTTCTTCCCTCTCTTATCAATCAGATGCTAAACTAAGATCAGGAACTGGGCCTTCTGTTTCTTGTATATTTTACCACAACACCTTATGCCCTGCACACAAGACCTAAGAAGTGTTGTTGATAAAATTTACTAAGGTAGTAATAAGACAGTGTGGCCTAGTGGAAAGAGAGAGCTGGCCACGGGGTCAGGAAGATTGGCTTTGAAGTTCTGCCAGTGACACATATTTGATGCTGACCCTGGAATAGTCCTATAACCATCATCATCATCATCATCATCATCATCATCATCATAGATGTTATAATAATAATGCTTATATTAAACCATCATAAAATCAAAATATAGTAATGATAATAACAATGAGTATAATTATTATATAGGATGTCTCCTATATAATGATCATTAAGAGCTTAAAACTGCACTAAGACTTTTGGGGTACCCTGCATTATGATATATAATGTTATATAATATTATATCATTATAATTATTGCTACAACTAACATTTATGTAGCCTTTTAAGGTTTATATAGCACTTTACATGTGTTATCTCATTTGATGCCCCCAACTATTCTATAAGGTAGAGTAAATTATAAATTATCTCCATTTTATGGTTGAGGTTACTAAGGCAAAGAGAGGTTAAGTGACTTGCCCAGAGACACAGAGCTGGTGTCTGACACAGGATTTCAACTGAGGCCTTCCAAGTCCAGTGCTCTATCCACTACATCACTTAACTTCTGCAAGTTACAGAGAAGATGCTGAACACACTGATAGATGCAGTTCCTCCATGCCTGTATCAATGACATCTCAGATCCACATAGGAGGTATTTCATAAATGCTTTTTATATTTCTAACTCTTGTGTTGTGTTTCGTTTATTTATGTTTTTTGCAAATAATTAGGACTGTTTCTACATAGGCTTGTGATATTTGCAACCAAAATTACTCTTTATGTTGTCAAATTCTTCCATTCCATACTATATAATTGGATAACTGAGCCACAAATACAGCTGGTGCAGCCCATGATTTCTATCAGTTTAATGTCTATTAAGGCTATAAAAATTTTCCCACTTTAAAGAAGATAGTTAGAA